ATGCTTTGACAGGTCATTCGTTTGCGACGCATATATGCAATATATAGTGCCGATACATTGGCTATTTAAGCACTGGTCAGCACGAGTTCAGCCTGCTCGTGAATATCCCTCTGCCAAATACTCACATTTCTTGCTCTGTCGTTTCAGCCACCTTGTCTCTAATTGGAGACAATGTAATTAGGTGATGCGCATTTCCTGTTCACGGACTTCCAGTTGGCGGCTGAATTTATTTTGCCCTGCCCATTTTCGCTTACAGCGATCAGCAACCTGCCATTGTGCATCGACTGCCGCCCCCAAGGCACACTCCACTTCACCTGAATGATTCCCGCCGATACGAACTTGCCCCACTTGTTCATGATGTCCGCGCTGGTGAGGTGTTTCCGCGCTGCCTTTGGGTTTTCGTAGAGGTCCTGAAGAACAAAACCACAAAGACACCCGGAGTCCACCCAGCGTACCATACCATGGATGCATTCTTGCGTGTAAGAAAATGAATCAGCATGTTCAGCATAAAATATCTTCCAGGTTGTTCAGGCCCGTTTATTAACTTTTTTTGAGATGACTTTACCAGTTTTACGTAACGCTTCAGCCGGAGTGCATCCGGCAATAATGACATAATGTGCACACCAAGAATGACCACACAATCAGTGGACGTCACTTCGTCTAATGCAAGATCCGTGGACGCCATCCCACGGCCACCACTTCCGACACCCCTCCATTCCCCACCAGCACGCGCGGCCTGCTCGCTTGGGGACAGGGCGCCATGTCCACCACCCTGAAGGCCGGGGCCTTGCCTGCCCCGGCGCTGCGGAGCGTCTGTCCAGCCGGGAGGTGCGTATGGCGCGGCGGGGAGCGCCGGTAGTCCCGGGTCGTCGGCCCGACGATTGACGCCCGCAGTGACGCATTCTGTTGGCGCAATTGTTTGGAGCGTCTGCTTGCACTGTTTCGTTGCGATGTTTGCGTTTTTGTCTGCATGGTTTGCCTGTTTATGTTGTTATGCTGCAATGCTTGCCGGCTTGTCTGAATGGTCTGTCTGGTTGCATTGTTTTGTTGCAATGTTTGCTGTTTTGTCTGCATGGGTTGTTGTCGCGTGTGGCCCTGCACAGGCCCGTCGAACAGCCGAGGAGTCAGTGCGCTGCGAGAGCCCGGGGGGTGAGCAGGCAGTGCGGCTTGCAGATTCCATCCCTGGAGGTGTACCGATGCTACAAGATTGCTTCCACGCTTCGCTGATTGTCGGCAAAAGGCGCCGCGGCATCGTTCGCTGTGTGTACGCATGTCATCTGCACGCCCAAGGGTTTGCAAACTCCGCAGACAGCCCGCACAACCCCGAAAATACACGTTTCCAACACTTGTTCTCCACTTCTACATACATCCTTCGTTGAAACGCAACGGGTGTTCCCGATGTGGGGAATCGGATTGCCGTTGCGTGTGTGCTGTTGAAGCCCCAGTTCTGGTCCTCCACCATCACCTTGTCTGTGGATTGGTTTCAGGTGGATGTGTCGCGACGGGAGGCCGTGATCAGTGTGGTGGCTGCATCTGGCCTCATGCTGGCTTCTCCGGTGCTCGCTTTCGGCTTGAGGGAAAGTGCGGATGTGATCCATGAGAAGGGAACTGTGCATGCTGTCCCGGAACTGCCTGACTGGCGACGACTTGTGGCCATTGCCACCCCCTGCGAGCTGGAAAGCCGTCCGTGATGCGATTGGAGTCTTTCAACACTGCAGAAAAAGGAACTAAGGGGGAGGAAATGAATGGTTATGGGGGTCCTTCTGACTCAAGTGGGTTGTCTTGTTCCCTGTACACGCACTTGTTGAGACTGGCACACTCCTTCTTGGGACTAGCAGCCAATTTTCTGCAAATGCAAGCACAATTCAAGGAAGTCATTTGGTATTGCAGTCTAGCCTCCATCCTGAGACGTACAGTAGTTTCTTGTGAAGGCAAAACTGATCCAAGGCGGGGATAAGGTCTTCAACACAAGCAATGCTGTTCAAAGGGCATCCTCCAGCTTTGCTGGTATGTCTGCATGGGGTTTTGCCTATTGGAAACTGCAGAGAGGGACACGGAGTCAGAAGAATGTGACAACAGCCAATGGAGATTTGTATGAGCCTATGAACTATATATATACTCTTTCTTGTATCGATTAGCCTCCCTCCAATTTTGGAGCAGGACAGGCCTTCCATTGATCACATTTGTGCAAACATCATTGTGCATTGATCCGATCCAATTCTTAGAGTCATCAAGTTGTGGCATGGCAACGTCACAGTGGCCAAGGGGAGTTTGCAGGAGGCGGTAGGCAGCTTTTTTGCAACAAATGCTACTCTTGTGAGGCATCAGTTTTGGGGCAGGACAGGCCGTGATGGCACTTATCCGGGCTCCTGAAACAATGTGCATGATCCATTGGTCAAGTGTGTGAAGAGCATCACTGCGTGTTGTCCAGAGCCATCTCGTGTGGTCACCACATGATGCCATGAGAATGTTACAGCAGCCAATGGATTTTTGTACAGAGCCGTTGGGCTGCTTTTCACAGCAAAAGCTCTCTCTCCTGAGGCATCATGTTTTGGTCGGATGCCCCAAGGGACCATGAACCCTCCCCAGCGCCCTCTCTAGCTCATGATTGAGGCGATGAGGTGCAGTGGCAGTAAGGCCAGTAGCAGCGCCTGTACCTGGTGGCGACACAAGCACCCGCAAGGTCCAAACGCTCCACCGTCAAGTTTCAGATTGTTTAACATGGACCCGTACAAGGTGAAATAGCTATTTTCCTCTGAAAATTCCCACAAATTCGTAATCGAAGAGATTTGAGCAGTCGTCATGCATGCCACCATGCCACAGCTTTTATGGTATTGTCCAAGGCCGCCACAGTCGATGAATTTAACCGTGTCAAATGAGCACATGCGTGCATGTCTTGCAACTTCTCAAGACCCGGAACGGAAAACACTTGCAGCACTTAAAAGGGAAATGTGGCCCACTGCAACAACAAAAGGGAACACCAGTCCCCCCTTCCTTCTATTCCATTTAGGAGAGGCACAAACCGCAGCCCCTGGCAAGCAGAAATGCGGCACAGGACGTTTTCCACCCTGGCCGGTTTTGCCGAAGGGATGGCGAAACAAGTTTCCAGAGGGTGTCAGACGTCGTATTGCTTTAAACTTTTCATATTTTAGACTCGTTAGCATCTTTCTCACAGTACACGCGCCAGCATTTAGACAGCTTCATTTCAGGGGATTGACGAATAGAAATAGACAGGAACCCCAGAAAGGGCACATTGTCTCGAAAGTACCCCCACTTGTCAGTTGTCCTTTTAGCTTTTGCCAACTTTTTGGTGACTTCCTCCCTCAAATGTCCGCCCCTGTCAAAAATACCGCCGCGTTTCAGTTTTTTTCTACCTTATCCAACTTTTTTTTATGACGTCCTCCCTCAAAATGCCCGCTCCACGCAGACATACAATTACTGGCTGCACCAAAACGGTGACTTTTTGCACTAAATCGGTGACTGCTTGCACCAACTCCCTCCAAAACTTACCTAACACAAAACCTAAACCCTAAACCTGCCTTAAAACCAACTCTAACCCTAAAACTCACCCTAAAACTAAACCTAACCCTAAAACTGAGGTTAGGACATAGTGTTCACGTGATTTGGTGCAAGCAGTCACCGATTTGGTGCAGGCAGTAATACTATTTCCTCCACGCACGACCCACACCGAAACCCAACCACCGCCACGGCCACACCCGCGTGCGCGGCCCGCGGCAAGGATATGGCGGAAGCCCCACCTGCCGATCCCAGGGCGCCGACACCGCCGGCCGCCCGTGCCCACGGCCGCCTCCGCGCCCTCGCTGGCCATTTCGCGGCATCCTCATATGCCGAAGCCCCCTCGGCAGATGACGCATCACTGGCTCCGGTCGCCGTGTCTGCCAGCGGCGCTCGTGGCCCGATGGCATCCAAGAGCTACGCGTCGGCGTCCGCGGGGCCCTCGAGCTACGCTCGGGTGCACGGGGAGGTGTCGCGCGAGCCCGCCAATTGGCGGCGGATAGACGCGGTGCACGGGGAGGCGCTGGACGACGTCATTTACCACAAGGCCGCTGGGGAGGCCATCGCGAAGGTTGGCGCCTCGGCGCGGACAGAAAGTCTGGGAAAGCAAAAATTTTGCAGAAGCGAAAATTGGGGAATGCGAAAGTTTGAAAAAACGAAAATTCTCAAAGGCAGGATGGACAGTATCCAGGGGGGTGCGATGCGAGTGGTGGGGTTGATGGAGGGCAAGATCTAACACTATGAGAAAAAGAAGTAGGTCATACGAAAGGCCATCACCTCCTAAGCAAGTGTGCGCGAGACTCTTTTCCACGCTGTGAAAGGCTGGTGCAGAAGGAGGGTCGTGGGGATCTTGGGCCGCTGATGGAGGATTGGAGGTTATGGGGACCGAAAGGGGGGTTGTCAGCTGTGGGGCGCGTTTGCCTTTGCAATGGGGCAGCAGTCTGAGAAGAAAGGCCGCGATCGCTGAAGGCTCCAGTGGTGGCCCCGAGAGGGAGCACTCTTTTGCCTGGCTCTTTTGGCTGGTCAACCTCAATTTGTGACTGTTCATCATGCAGCCAGTAAAGTGCAAAGAATTGCAAAGGCGTGGTGGCCATGAATAGTATGGCTCATGGACTTTGGGTCAGGAAGTTCCAAGAATATGTTTGTCATAATTAGCAAATGGTTGTTTGATGAATGAACAAAATCCCTCATTGTGCACCCTATTTTTTTGGTAACCTTGTGCTGTTTATTGCAGCACGAGGTCCAACACAATCCTGACGATTGCCAGGGGCGCACTCTGTGGCCTGGATTTCGTCTGCACAGAGATGGCTAGTTGTTTGGACAATATTGAAGTGCAAAGCTTCTGACCAGCCCCCACAGCAACAATCAGACCCAATGGTGCTTGCAAAATGGAACTCGAAAATTCCATTATTGTGTATGTCAGTCCTATCAGTTCTACCGATGCAAAGTTTTTGGAAATCTTCAACGATTTGTAACTGAGACTGATGGTGCAGATTACCATCAACCGACCTCATAAGAGAAACGCATTTACTCCTCGAACAGGTGAGCTTTTTCAAGACTTGCTGCATTTTGTCGCCTTCAGTATCCTTGGGAAATAGCAAAACAAGTAATCAAGTGCACAAGTGCCTGTCTTGACTAACATTTTGCTTAAGGAAAAAATCCTGCAAGATGAATCTGCATCTGAATCTGTCATAATTTTGTATTGATTGTTGTGCTTGCAAAGTTGAGCTCCCCAAAGAAATGAAGTTCTGAAAGTCTGAAACTGATGTAACGATCTTGCAGTGACTGAGATGTCGAAGTGCTTTACGGATGCACGAGAGGACCCCGACATTGGTGTGGTGATCCTGACGGGTATGGTTGCTTGCGTGCTGGTCAAACTGCATGTTTAACATATCAGTATTCGTCCCTTGTGATGCACTTGTCCTGCAGGTGGAGGGACATTCCCAGTGTGCTGCAGTGTCGCTCAGAAACACATCCATTGCATCAAGTTATCTGTTGTCTGAAGATTTGCAATGAGTGCATGCCGTTATGTGAAATTGGCCTAATGATGGGCATTTTCTGCCAATATTTTTCCCCATAATGTGCATCATTGCACTACATTACCAGTTGAGACAACATGGTGACACCATCCCTGGATGCTTACACCAGTTTCCCGTCTTCGAGGTTCAGGCTTCTTTCTTGGTTGTTCGTTCTTTTGGGATGCAGCAGAGTTGGAGAAGGGACCAAACATTGTGATCATACTGTTGGACCACTGAATTTAGGGCAAGATCTGTAGTTTGTCTTGTACAGCAAATGCAATTACAATTTCTACAGTGGCTGGCTGCGAAGGAAAGGAAAGGTCATACTACATAGGTAGTATAGCAAAGAAGATATCACGGTTAAAGAAAAAGACAAAAGGGAAAATTTTCATACCATGTGCACCCTCACTTTAACCAAGGAAGGTGAGGCATGTTTCCATATCGTGAAATATACTAATGCAAGTAATACAAGTAATACAAGTAATACAAGCAACATAAGTAATACAAGTAATACAAGTAATACAAGTGCGTTGTTACTGCATAATTGAGAAAGAGGACTGACATTGCGCTGCTACAAGCCTTTTTTTGGCCCCTTTGAGCTTAAAGCAACTCCCATTTGCCCTTATCCCATGCTGATCCATGCCTTGGAGGTGCACAAGTGGCTGCATTGTCAAGTTTGGCGAGTGTGTTTGCATTTGTACGTTTCTGATTCGTAAGTGGAGAGCAAAGTCATTGGCTGCTGTCCGCTGGCAGGTGCTGGTACCATGGCTTTCTGCAGCGGAGGTGACCAGAGCGTTCGACAGATCGGGGGTTACGCTGGAGCAGATGGGGTCCCTCGTTTGAATGTGCTGGACTTGCAGGTATGATGATGGAAGGAATCTCCCATAGCATTACCATTTTGTGGCCTCTTTATTCTTCAAGAGGAAAAAGAAGTACATTGCAAATATGCTGCTGTTGACATTGGTGAAGCATTGTGCGCATTGTAGCCAGGGTATTGGAATAGCAATTGTACCTGGAGGGGCTGAACTGTTTCGAATGCATCTGCATTGGTCTTTGTAGGCAGAAGAATGGCCCTGCATGTTTTCCTGATGTGCTGCTGACATCCTTACACTGTGTTTTCTGGCTCTGACTGTAGCAACAAATTCGCCACCTTCCCAAGCCTGTCATTGCCATGGTTGCTGGCTATGCCGTAGGTGGAGGCCACATTCTACACATGATGTGTGATATGACGGTACGATAAGGATGGTATAGTACCGTTGTGTGCGCTTGGCTGAGCTCTGTGCTGACAGCCTTCCCCTCAGAAACCAGTTGGATGACCACATTTGTTGATATTGACAAGACTGGCACAGAACGTTGAGGCCAGGACATGCCTAGTCACTGTTGTTCTCTTTGATGCATGAGCGAAGCAAGCTGCCTGTGAATTTGTCATATTGCTTGGTGTAGAAAGCAGGCAGTGTCAGTTCGGCACAGTTAAGTAAAGCTGTTTGCTCAGCGATGTCAGAGCACTTTCGGTACGTGTATGTGGTGTCAAAAGGAATGAGTTTATCCACACTGATCGCTCCACAAAGTGGTATAGGTCCAAATCCAACAACCAGGGTGCCAGGTGTTGTGACCTCCTGCACTGCAGATAGTCCAGGTTGGCGAGAAACCAGAGAGCACCGACAAGGCCCCACCAACAGATATATGGGTCCCATTGAATGGGGCCTGTCTGGTATACACAGAGAACAATTTTCCTCACTGCAACAACAAAGCTGGATAATATGAAGATCCAAGATCGCATCGGCCCAAGCCTTCCAGCTAGCACTGCTTTAGCTTCATCTGTCAGATGTCTAGCAGGTATTTGTCCTGGAGTGCTACAGAGTTGTGAACAGAAATGTGCTGCATGAGCAAGATGGCTGCTGATGTTAGATAGCCCGGCTGGTGGAATGCAGATATCGGCAGACAATGGTGTATTTGGCCAAACTGGGCCAAGGGTGGGCAGTTTTGATGCTGGTTATGGCGTGGCACAGATGATTCGCCTTGTAGGTAAGTGGGCCAATGTCTTGTTTTTTTAGATGCCATCTTGTATCATGTGTTGTGATGTGAATGTCTGGTTGTAAGCCAATGTCCATGCAGGGATATTCACAGAAACAGATATCTGCAGATTGGCAGTGCAGCTTTTTTTGATCTGGGATGGGTTGCATGCACCATCGGAGGGCAGTTGTTGCCGTGCTACTCCTGCTGTTCCCGGTGACAGGGCGGAATTCTGCACACCGTAGGAACAAGCACATCATCAGGGGATCAGTGTCATCATCACCTTCACCTAGGTGCATAAACAGCACTTTGTCACGTGACAACTGATTTAGTCAAAGCTGGTTTCCATGTGATAATGCAGTGGATACAGATCGCACCACTATGGCTGTGTAAGCATACGTGTTCATTCCCTCTCTGCTGCACGGTGTTGGCTCTGTGGCCAAGTCTGCCTTGTCCTTTCCTTATGGGCTGTCTTGTATGGTAACTACCCTATGATTTCATTTACTGTGGGACAATGCTCTGCCGGACATCTGTGGCAGGCCATGGGTATGGGATTACCCTGCCACCATTGCTGCAATATGCCCATTTGCATTTGTACTGTGCTCAGCTTTGTTTGGAAGAGCTTGGCATTGGTTCAGATCAGCAAGTATTGGGTGGATGCCAGAATGAAAGTGTGCTGCCTCGTGTGCTGATTGAGGAGTATGACATTTGCAGGGCAGAAAAGGGCGCGTGAAATTTGGTTCATGTGCCGACTGTACAGCGCCGAAGAAGCATTTCGTATGGGCCTCGTCAACAAGGTTGGTTGGCGATGCTTTCTGTTGAGTTTGTATGGGCTTCATGTGGAACACACTAGCTGAGGCCTTCAGACTATGGGCAAAGTCTGCCCTGCTCCTTGCGATTGCTTCTCCAAGAATGCTTTTGTTACTCCCACTCACATCGCATCCCATGTTGGCAGATCTCCAACATATCTGATTTGGAGCATGTCCCTTGCATGGCATTAGCACTTTTTCGCCCAGTGAGAAAGATGAGGGAGACCAGTGAGGAGGTGCTGGGGCTGTGGGCTGAGCAGGGCAGTTGTACTGTGCAGGTTGTTCCACTTGAGAAGCTGGAAGAGGAGACACTGGTCTGGTGAGTTGGGTTTGGACATACCAGTTCAATGTTTGTTGTAGCATTGACGATTTTGTGGTACATGGTGAAGTGTTGTACTTGTTCCATGTTTGGCACTGAGACAAAACATCTGACATATAATGGGCAACCCCTTTGTGTCAGAATGAGAGTTGTGCTGTTGTCTCCCACACGACCAGCCAGCTAGCAAAGCAGTCAGGGAGCGTAGTCTGGATTCCAGATTCAGAAGTTGCTGAGTTGACTGGATGTCCATACCACAGAGAAGGACTCAGTTAGCTGCTCACAATCAGGGCGCCGATCGTCACAGGAGGCAATGCCAGATACTTGTTGCCTATTTCCATGAAGTCTCCAGGCTAAATAATATTCTGGAAGTGCTGCTGAATGCATTGACAAATTACAGAACTAACTTAAAAACTCAACAGACAATCCTACTCTTGGTATAATGTCGAAGTTGCTGTGCAGGTGTCGTGAGATTCTTAGGAACAGTCCAACAGCCATACGAGTGTTGAAGGCGGCTTTGAATGCCACTGAGGATGGCCAATCTGGGCTGTGGGTACGTTTGGTATGATCGGCAGAATGAGACATAAATGACTTGTTGAGAATGGCATCCTGGTGCTGTGACCGGGAAAACTTGGCTTGTTCACTCTCCCATTCAGAGAATTTGTTGTGTTCACCTGTTTTTCCTCCAAAGTTGACTGCGGATGCAAGACTTCTGTATGGTTGCACTTTTGCCTGCAAAAGCTCTAATAAGGTTATTGGCCGCAAGTTTGCAAAGCATGAACGCAAGTCCCGTTGGTGTCTTGTTCTGACGATCCACTCATGGGCTGTGTGGTGATGAACTGTGACTGCACGGCACAGGAACTTGGCCACAACGCCACGCTGCTGTTCTATCAGTCTGAGGAGGGCAACGAAGTGAGTGCAATTCTCGGGGCTCGCCAAAAGCTCTTTGATACCACGGTTTTGCAACCTGTTTGGCCTTTCGCTTCTTTTGTTGCTGGAATGCGTTAGTGCACACGCAGCCAGGTGGCCACAGTGGCTCTCACAAAATGCTTCCTTCTTGCTCTGTTTGCGTGGCACCCTGTGACGCTGTGTGCCCATTGACGTGTCGGAGAAATTCAACGTCGCTCGACCAAGCCAAAGTGCGATGGTGCTCCTCCTGCTCTGGCACTGATGGAGTGGGAACAAAAGGCAGCCGATTTTGACCGTCCGAAAGGTGGTTGTGCTCAGCTGCACAGTTTTGAACAGCCTTCGGCAGTTTGTGGGCATGCACAGAAAATGATGTGACACGGGCAAGCTTTGCCACTTCGACATGCTGCATGCCGGCAACGCGTCAGCCCTATCTTTGGCGATGAAAGTAATTGTGCCAAATTTGGGCATCGCTTGTGCAAAAGCGCCACAGAAACAGGGCGGAAATTGAGCGATTTGGTCCCGTCCCACACATGGCGCAGAGCAGATGTACGATTTTGACCAGTTCAACTGGCTGTGTTTTTATGTTTGAACCGTCAGTTTGACTGCATTCAGATGCAGCTCGACAGCGTGTGAAGCAGAGGGCTGCATGCCAGCGGATGTGTTTCTGGCACTGAATGAGTAGATGGTGCTTGCAGGGGCGACAGGCCTTCATGGAGAAGAGGCCGCCGAATTTTTCCCAGTTCAAGCGGTGGCCTTGATGGCTCAGACCCAATGTGCAGCTTCACCGTTGTGCAGCGCTGCAGGAATTTAAATGGCTCGGACGTGATTGTGCAAGCAGACAGACGCACCCACACCCCGTTCATGGGCGCCTCCCGTTGCAATACTGCGTTCCCAAGTGCATTGCCAGAATCAGATAACAGATCCTGCTGCCCAAATGAACTTGGAAGTCTGTCATGGTTTTTTCCTTGTATTTAAGGTTGTAGTCACTCCAGGCAGGAATCTTTTGCAGAAAGGGGACGCATCCAGGCACGGTTAGGCGGGAAACCAGTTGAGAGGTTCAGCAATCACACTGACTTTGGAATCAGCAGGAGGTGCAGCTGCACCGCTTGGAAAGCATGGACAATGGACCTGTTTCCATCCGTTTGTTGTGACCCGTGGTCCTGTCACGAAGCCGGGTGTTGTTCTGTTCTTGGTCCAACATTCTGTTTTCCTTAATGTTTCAATTTGGCATCGCAAGATTTACACAAAGTACAGAGCTACCCATACACAGACCCCCATGCTGTGTATTCAGGACCAAGCTGTGAAATCAAGAAACCTGTTGATCGCAAGTTCATCATGTGAAAGTTTGAGGACATGGAGAGGCGCGCCGTGTTGAAAGAACACATGCCGGGAGCCCTTGCAAACCCAGATTGCCGTCATCCTCTCCTTTCCCTTGTCCCCCTCAGCATATTGCATGCTAACGCACACCCCGCCCTCCCACCATAACCCATCGTTCACTCGCTAGACTGTGTTTGCCCCGCTAATTCGCGCCCCGTTCTTTTGTGCTTGCGGCCCATCTAGCCACCCCTGAAGAACCTCGTCACGCCCCTGATGGCCGCACCGATCATTTGGCCCAGCCGTCGACCTCCCGTTTCGGCATCAGCTCCAAGACCTTCGAGCACAGTCATCTTGGGGGAACTCGCTCCATTGGCCGCTTGACACGCCACCCCAACCCTCACATCATCTTGCGCCTCTCCCATATGGGCGCCCCTTGCGGCGCCCCTGGCTGCCGACCTGATGAAATTTCCACGCCTACCGCCTTTCCCTTGGGCCCCTGCTTTCCCGTTTTTGGAACCACTCAAACGCTCGGCGCCCTCCATTTTTCCCTCCCCCTTCTCTGAGTCCGCACTTGCGCCGTTCGAAACGCCCAAGAGGACAGCCGTCACCAGCGCCACAAGGGCAGGAGCCGCCAAACGGCGCAGGAGGCAGTCTCCTCGCCTCTTTGAGCTGAAACGCCCCTGGATGGGGAGCCTCTCCACGTGCCTGCGGCCGGTATGCCTCAGGCTCAACGGCAGCTGCGCATTATTACCTTCTGTGTCTTCTATAGAACTCACGAGTTCGATGCCAATCTGGTCGTTCATGTGCTCCGAGTTCTGCCTCGGACTGCCGAAACTCTCTTGCACAGGCACGATGCCGTCCGGCCAATATGCACGGAGCGCAGGGACTAGCAGCATGACCAAGAAGAATAGTTAAAATACGCATACGGAATAGACTGCAGTACATAGCGTGTGGTCCTGTTTCGTGAAAGCAATACTGAACGTGGCATCCTTTTCCAGTGCATCATTTTCAGCGCATTGACACTGGGCGAACGTGGGTCGAGTTTGGGCACTGCCCTAACAATACAATTGCAATATTGTAGTAGTAATCAATTCAATTACAAAATTGTAGTTGTAATCAATTTATTTACAATATTGTAATTGTTAGTAATTCAATTACAATAACAAGTGCTTGCCGACACTTCAAGCCGTCCTACCTTCAACAGGCAGCGGCTCGACGCCAGAGAGTTGCCGGTGGCCCACATGTCCAACATCACCTCCCTCCTCCAGTGCCTGGGTTGCCGCCCTGTCACCCTCGCCCATCACTGCACTTGTCGCCCTTGGCACCAGAACTGCCTCGATCCTTGATGAGCCGCCCTCTTCACGCCGGCGTATGATGAAAGATAACCGGACTGATGAAATGCGCAGCGGTGGGCCATCCCTGATCCCTGAATCGGTTCCGCTTAATGGTGCCATTGGCAGCGGCCTAGCCAGGGGGAGATCCTGCACCAAGCGCGGCGGGTGTGGATGAGGTTTGGGTTAGTCGCGATGTGGCGAGCCAGGGAGTCTTTCTTTTGCGCAAGAGTGTCAGGAACGTGTTGTGCACCAACAGGGCGTAGAGTCATCTTGTATTCGGCGTTTGAAAATCTTGGGTTGTGGCTGTCGAACCGATTTTAATAGCAGGTCTATACGAGGCAAAGTTCTGCTGTGCGTGCAGGCCAGGAGATATGTGAGGAATCCGGTGGCTCAAATTAGGAACCGACTTTTTCCATCTAATTGTTTTCAGCGAATGAGCACATGCTCCCGACATTCTGCGTTCAACAATGGGTAGAGCTTGTGAGGCCTCTTATTTCAGCCCGGAGCTGCACATTTAATTGACGTTGCGCTATAGGTAAAATCCGACAGCGTGAAGACTTCCGGGCGCTCTCGGACATCCCTCCTCCATTACTTGGGACTGACTTGTTGGTTTCTAATAATTTTCATTTCTGTCGTCTGCTTAAATGCCGCACGAGACAAGAGGGTCCTGTAGCCGTGGGTCAGCTCAGCAGAGCTAGCGCATTCTGAAGCCCGCCTTTTTTAGAGCGGAGAGCACCGTTCCAATTGTATTGCGCAAGTCGCCGCTAAAACTGCGGTTGCGGAATAACAGGCCACTGTCACCGGTGGGGGCCGTCAATATTCCAAGGCTTCGCCGCGGAAGCTCAGCACGTGCGGATCTCCCAACGGCGCTCTATGCGCCAAAATCCCAAACCTCTCGAGGAACACAAACCTACACGTCACAGCACCTGCGCCGCTCTTCAGAGGGGTCAGTCTCGTGGGCAGTGGGCAGCGCTTGGCGCACCCTTGCAGCGCCCAGTTTGAATTGGACGCAGCTTTCCGTCTTCCGTTAAGCACTGCACGTAAAGAATACTCCCGCGGCCCCGACTTTGCGGCTTCTTTGCATTCTCACCTCCTGAAGGCGGGCGTCCGTGCAGACTCCATCCTTCAGAAGGCCGCCCCCAACGCCGTCGGCCCCAGTGGGAAGGCTGGCTGCTCCACAGGTCATGATCCCTGCTGAAGGCGCTGTCGTCATTTCCTCCCCTGTTGCTGTCACTGCGGCTTTCGCAGCTGCCACGGAGTCCAGCTTCCAGTGAGGGGGCTGTGTTGACAGAAAAGACGTCTGATAAGGGACCGACGCGCGAATTTATGGCCAGAGTGCATGGGCTGAAGAGGCGCACCGTCGGTCAAGGGTGTGTGACAAGGGTTAGTAAAAAATAGATTGACGAAAATGTCATGTCAAAGCAATGAATCGGCCGTCGTTCCTGTTGCGCCCGAGGAAAGCAGAGCAATTTTTCTATGCATTTGTCCGTCAAGAAAAGTTCAGCAACGAAGAAAGTGGCATGAACTACTTTAGCGCGTGCGCACATATCGCGAGATCTATTCTGGGGGTATTTAGCTTCGTTGAGCGAAGCAACCACAGATTTCGTAGTGCACTTTAAAAAGAAAGCCAGCAATGAGCTAAAGTTGTAAATGCATTGACTTACATCATCTCTTGTCTTCTTCCATTTCTTGGAAGACAAACCCTAGCAAATTTGACGATATTTTTCTTTAACTTCGCCATGCTCGCGGTGCCTGCGTTGCGCTCAATGAAAGAGAATTTTTCTTCTCTGTGTACTTCCATATCATTACAGTGCATACATATCAGATCAAGTCTTTCTACACATGAAGGCAGCAAAAATTTAAGCGCACGCAGCAGTCTTCAGAAAACTGCTGTGCAGTCGTTCAATATTATAAGCTCTCTTGAATGGAATCCATGCACGCCATGGCGCCTTCACCCTCTGCCGCTATAACCGTTGCTTTGAGTCACGTACTTTGATTGCGATTTCATGATTATTACGTCAAAAGCAAAGTCTCATCCTCGCTCCACTCCAGAATTTCAGGGTACAAATTGCCCGCCTCTTGCGCAATATACAATATCGTTTTTCGATGACATCAAACTGGGAATGATCCCTCAACCCCGACGCCCCAAGTACAGCAGCCCCCTATTGTGCATTCAATGAACGAGCCAAATCGATCGCGCTGTGGTGTCACAGCAAGGTCGCAAACTGGCTTGGTGGGGAGGCTGGGGCTGCCACCGCTTCTGCGACTTGGTTGCGCCGTTTCCCTTCATGTCGCACCTCTTGCAAGGGGTTACCTCCTTCCTCACAGCTTCTGGCAGGCTCCAGCGGCCCCATTTGCCAGCAATACGGCAACGCCAGCCTTCACCGCCGTCCTTCGCAACAATACCTCAGTACAGGCTGGTATCCGGCTGGGCTTTGACATCCCTGTAGTGCTTCGCCACCATGCTGGTCAGTCGCTTCTCGCCGCCTCAACAGCTCCCTCAGTTCCCCAGGTGTCGTGAAGTGCAGGTCGCAAATCTCAGCCATCGATTTTCCAGGATCAAAGGCATATGAAACTTTGCTAAAATTGCGTGTTAAAATATAAGTATCTAAAGTTATGACATAGCAGCCATATATTGCCTATATGGAATGACAATGTGATGCATTCCCAAGCCTATTGAAAATTAAAATGGCTGATGTTTGTGCAAAAACAAATTCAAACTAAACGCTGTCCTCACTGCTGGCCGCGATTTGCCCACCACAATCACCACTGCTCAGTGAAACCTTTCTGGCAATGGTGTAGATCGGCCAACGATTTCAGATGGAGGTATACGCTCTCAGACTATGCATGTTTGCATTGTTTGTCACTGATTCAAGAAGTACTATTATCCAAATGATAGTGGACTGAAATCTTTGAATTTTGGATGCAAATTCAATCGCTCCTATCATGTGCAACATTCCCTTGCACATATTTCAGTAAGAAGCCGCTGTGCGTAATTGTTGGAATGTCGATAATTCAGCCGTGTTTTCAGTATGGTTTGCCCAGAATGAACGCCCAGCGGCCTCGGAAGAACTTCAGATAAATACTACTTGGTCTGCATATATCTG